GCGATGCGGCTAGGCCAGAATTTTGCCGCCTCCGTTAATCGAGTAACCGAGGTGGTTTTGTTACATTGCCCGCCTCGGTTAATGCTTAACCGAGGCGGTTGCTGGGCCGGGTGTCCTCCTACCACGAATAACCGAGGCGGCAACCGCCCATCGCCTCGGAGGCCTTTTTTTTCAAACGCCTCGGTTAAGTTTTTTTAATAGTAATGTCTCAAGTATAGCTCCTAGCCCCAGCATGAAAACTTGCATTGATCTCTTAATTCTTATATATCTCTGAGTTGAAATAGGTTCCACCAGCAAGACACGAAATGAGATGCACAGATGACAGCTGCTAAACTAAGGGAAATTGCTCAAAAAAATATATGTAAAGGATTTTGTCCAAAGCCGCATGTCATTGAATTTTGTGTCTTTTAGAATGCATGTTCGAGGGTTTTCGATGAGCTGCATGCATGCATGTTCTTCCGTTGGCGCGACGTAAGCAGGAGAAGATATGGGAAAGCGCGTCATGGTCCATCTATCTAGCTATCTCCAAGGATGGAAAGTGACCTTTCGGACGACATTCTGTAATGTAAGCCCCACTATGGATCCGAGATCGCCTTTTTGTCATTTCTTTCCATCACTTTTCTTTGTTTATACGCTCTCTAGTGCGCACTATGGCAAGCACTTTGTGCAGCAGCAGCAGCGGCAACATACTTTTATTATTATTATGATATACGGATGGACTTCGTTATCACGATGGACAATAGAGTGAGACACATGCACTGAACCTGGTCACCACTCGAATTATTACTACCTACTAGATAGAAGACTTATTCAAGCCTTTTCTAAGCCGAGCGAGATTCACGAATAAGCTCTGTTATTAGATAGGTAATTATAATACAATGAGCTAAGAAATAAGTACTCTTTCCTAAAAGAAAAAAAAAGATGGTTCTCGTTGTTCAACGAATCAAATAATTTAAATTTAATTTAGTCAATTTTTTAAAGTTGATGGCATTTATGATAATGATCGATAGGCATCGTTCGATTGGTCATGGAATGTATTTTTATAGTAAACTAGATATAAATGTTGATACCGTTTTCTAATCTATGAAAACTGAATCGACCTTAAAAATTTTGACTTTGTTTAATTAGAATTGTATTCTTTTTAGGACAGAAGAAAATGGTTGAACCAAGTCCAAATAATCTGTTGTTGTAGGTCGGCATGGAGTTAATTGGCGTAAATTTGGTGATTATTTGGAGTTCATACAGAATGATATTTCGATCAATTCCTAATGGATGGAGAAGCTAAGCAATCATAGACTTGTCTTATGTTTTTTTTTATTTTGTATCCATTCTCTCTCTTTTCAGCTCATTAGATAAATAAATTGTAAAAACTTGACTGTATGCTATTGCGGAGGCAAAAAAAAAACAATTCTATTTTCTAAAAAATATATACTGCGGTAATATAACTTTTCGCCTTGCAAATTAAAGGAAGCCTACACTTACTAGCTAACGCATGGTTGGGCAAAACGCAAAGGAGACTTAGTACTAGGCATTAGGCGTGCTAAAAGCAATAGACTAGCTACCTAGCTAGTGTATACTCCCTCGATGTTGGTAAAAAAAGTTGTTTTGGACAAAGTTTGAGTCAAACATTAGGAATATAAACCATGAACAACTTTTAAGTTGTTGAGTTTAAAAATATGAAAACCACATGAATAGATTTGTTTTGAAAAATACTTTCATAAAAACATACATGTATCACTTTTTAATAAATATTTTTATAAAAATAAGAAGTCAAAGTTATATTTTGGAGACCGTGTCGCTGTCAAAACGACTTCTTTTGCCAACATGGATGGAGGAGTATAGACGTTGCAACCACTGACGACGGCTGCTCTTATTCTTCCCTGCCCGTTGAACGCCTTTTTAACCGTGTGGTTTTGATTCTTCACACGCATGGAGACACCACTTGTGGGGCCGGACCGGCCGGGTGAGCGATCGAACCGGCGTGCGTGCGTGGCGGCTCACGAGTGGGCGCGCCGCCGCGCTAGTGGGGCGGCACCGCCGCAAAGACCACCGTGGCTCGTGGACGTCACCGTCGAGAACGTCGACGCCGGAGGACGTACACGCTCGCGCCCATACGGCGGCCGCTCGCCTGTGGCTCTGGGCGGCCCCCGCCATATCTCGTGCAGGCGCACGCGCGCGTGCGTGCGTTGACACGACGACGACTGTACAGCGGGGGTGGACTGTGGACTGTACTTATCTGCATGGGTTCGTCAATCTAGGCCCAACTGCTGAAATGGCCCATTCTTGCCTGTCAATACAGGGAGGAGGAGCCTAGACCGGACAAGTATATTGGTAACCTAGACGACTGTTCATGCACAGATACACCGAGACCTTCCTAGACGACTGTTCATGCACAGATACACCGAGACCTTTCTAGACGACGGGCACATCGTAATCCTAATATGGCTCTACGCGAGAGAGGGACGACTGTTCATGCACAGATACACCGAGACCTTCCTAGACGACGGGCACATCGTAATCCCAATATGGCTCTACGCGAGAGAGGCTGCTGATATTTATTTTTGGAGGGAAAACCCGGTGGGAAATCACGCTCCGAGCAAGGCTCGAACACGCGACCTGTGCCTCCGCACCCGGAGCGCTCACCAACCGAGCTACGGCTCGGTCCCAGTAAAAGATACTGAGTTTGTTTTAGTGAATGGATCGAAATTGTTCCGGCTTCAACTTCTATCAAAGACAGACACCGGTACAAAACTATTATGAAAAGATAGCTGCAGCTATAAACTCTCTCACAATAGCTCTAGAAGCATTATGACACAGAGAGTTTGACATTGTTGACCAATCCTGTAAAACAATGGCTATCATGGGATGAAAAAAAATACATAGTGGCCCTGTTCGTTTGAAGTCTGGTTTATCAGTCATGGTATAGTGTTTTTCTCTCGCAATAAATGAGCGAACGGTAATTTTCAGGCCGGCACGCCAAAATTTGCAGTCTCTGCTGATCCTCAGGTCGCTACAACAGTGCCCAAAGCTGCAATGGTATTTATGTGTTGTCCCTTTATTCTCTTTCCTCGCTGCTACAGATCCTGCATTCTAGTTGTCACCTCCTGTTATGTCTGTATGATGGTTGATGCCTTCTCCTTCCGGCTACCACCAGATCCGGTCTCCTGCGCCGACTATTGTCTTTTCCTCAACTACTTGGAGATGTGTGCATAACAAAAGAGAAACAATTTTCATAAAAAAAACAAAAGAGAAACAATAACTGTTGTGAATCTATACCTCCATGTACATTTAATGGTGCATGGTAGGAAAACACATATTTGTAAAGGCAGATTTTATTTTCTTGTTGCCATTGTGGCCCACTTATTTCGTCGTCACCACGAGGAGGCTCGGTCGCCGGGGTTGCAAAGTCACAACGACACTTTGTTACGGATGAATATTTCACATTTTTTGAGCCATTGTGAGAGTGTTGGCTTAAGTAGCCAAGCACAACTCATTAATTAATTACTCTTTCATCAGCGAGCAAAAGGGATGGAGATCGATAGATGGGGTTAGCTAGCTACTAGAAGAATCTCAAATGCGTGAACATCGTCGTCGTCGTGTCGTGTTCTTAGCACGCCTGATTACTCAGTTTTTCCTTCTGGATAAGGACTTTTTACCTACGCAATATGGTGCATTCTGTTTGGATCCATATATATTTTCGTTCCGTGCCCTGCTTGAACTCGTATGCTTTCTTCGTTTTCAGGCAGGCCGGGTTTCAAACCTTTCGGTCCTTAAATAAAGAACAATCTGGTATTCTGGTCGACGGGTGATGTATGATGTATCATAAGACACTGCACCTTCTAGTGGCAGCAAAAGGAATCTACTATGCGCGACAACTAAAAATTTTACAATCTCGTAGTATGCCATTCTTTTGAATAGTTCCCGTTTCCAACGCATATATATGATTCATTCCATCTACAATAGGTACCACGTGCTCATTTCGCTCGAAAGGCAACATTTTTCGTCTAAATTATTGAGTTACATGCACCCATCATTCCATCAATTCAATACAAAAGCTCAAAGCTAATGGAGGGGGAAAAAAAGATGGGCAACTCGGGTATACTTCAACTCTAGCCTCACATGTCCTGTTCGTTTTGCTGATAAGCTATGGCTGAAAGTATTGTTGGCTGATTTGTTGTGAGAGAAAAATATTATTTATTGGCTGAAAAAATATGGCTTATAAGCCAAGCGAACAAGACGACAAGGAGAAACCTTTATTCCTCGTGAAACAGGAATGGGTAACATTAGTTTTTTTATAAAATTGTGGTAGCGAGTTCGTGGCAGTGAGGATTTGAACTCGAGACCAAGTTTACCAACCAGTTTAACCAAAAAAAAAACTTAAACCTGTGCCAGAGACTCCTGGTGTTTCGCCGCTAGGCCAATTGTTGCCGTGGCCCGTGGGTCTCCTTCGCCAGTGACCACCACATTGTCTCCAGTTCCACCCCAAAAAGGTAGAAGCCCTCCCCTTGCCTGCTGAATTATTCTACTTTGGGCCGTGCACAGAGATAGATGGGCCTATCATATCGCGGCTGTTTGGGCCTTAGATGGTAAACTGTTTCGGTTCCCCTGTCACATCCATGCAAGTCATCAGTTGAGCCCACAACTAATCGTGGGGCAGAGCTGAATTTCTGCATCGATCTCATGCTGCACTCTTCTTCCTCGTTCTGTACTCCGTGAAAAAAAGAGCTAAACTTGGCATGCTTCAACAAGGAGTTTCCCACCACGAAAAACGGTGCCCCTCTAGCGAGTAGCGACTCCTGTCCGCTCGAACTCGCCTCTTTTCCGCTGCAATTCAAATCCGTCCACCTCGCTTGTGTGTGTGTGTATATATATATATACACGCACGACGGAAATCCAGGCCGCCCGGTCGTCTCTGTCCTCCTTGAAAGAAGCTAGCAGCAGGTTTCGACAACGGACACACATCATCTACCAGTGCTATAGCTCATCCGTGGGTGCTGGCAATGGTGTCCTCCCGTGCGCTCATCGGCCTCCTCGTCGCCGCGTCCTCCCTCGCCGTCGCTCTCTCGGGTACGTACGTACGCACCTGCAGTGCATGTGCATGCATATGCGTCGCCGCCGGCCGGCCGGAGTACAACTGCATTATTGCATGCTGACACCGGCATGATCGAATGCATGGTGGCATGAACGACGTACAGATGGCGGCGCGACGTTGTTCAGTTACGAGGTGGGGAGCCCCGACGGGCCGCAGAACTGGGGGAAGCTGAGCCTGGCGTACAAGGCGTGCGGGCAGGGGAAGCAGCAGTCCCCGATCGACATCGTCACCAAGCAGGCCGTCCCCAACGCCCACCTCGACTCCCTCAACCGCACCTACGGCGCCGTCAGCGCCACGCTCATCAACGACGGCCACGACATCACGGTATGCATGGACGATGTTCTTCTCTGATGGATGGTTTGGATTTGATCGATCCTACTAGCTTGCCGGATTCATGAATGCATGCAGCTGGAGTTTGGGGGCAAAGTTGGGACGATAACCGTGAACGGCAAGGTGTACAGCTTCGACAAGATGCACTGGCACTCGCCGTCCGACCACACCATCAACGGCCAGAGGTTCCCGCTGGAGCTCCACCTCGTCCACAAGAGCGCCGACGGCGCGCTCGCCGTCATCGGCATCCTCTACCAGCTCGGCGCCCCTGACTCTTTCTACTACCAGGTAGCGAGGAATCTAGTCTAGGATACACACACATGAATTGCACCTCCATCGATGACGAACATGAACATTGATTGATCAATGATCACGCATCTGCAAATGCAGCTGAAGCGGCAGCTTGTCGAGATGGCCAACGACCAGTGCCACTTCGGCGAGGAGGAGTCGCACGTGGAGGTGGGGCTCATCCACCTGCGCTCGATGCAGAAGCGCACCGGCAGCTACTTCCGGTACACGGGCTCCCTCACCGTGCCGCCCTGCACCGAGAACGTCGTCTGGAGCGTCCTGGGGAAGGTGAGGCAGATCAGCAAGGAGCAGCTGGAGCTGCTCAAGGCGCCGCTACCCGGGAACGACAACCGCCCCACGCAGCCGGTCAACGGCAGGAAAGTCCAGTTCTACAACCCGCCCAACAGCACCATCTCCTTCCAGATGTAATGTGATGTAACAAACTCGATCCATCGTTCATGATGTGAAGTAGATATATATATGTGCATGGTTGCTCATTGCCTATACATTGGTGTAATATTTGTGACAGTAGTGTTGAATAGGTTTAATTAATTTGTAACACGTCAATGTATGTCTAGTCTACCTCTCAGTTTGTAATTTGAATATTTTTTTAAAAAAAATAGAGACACTGAGAAGTATCTCAAATCTGATATCTATTATAAGTAAAACAAGATACTTTGGCAAACAATGACCAATAAAAAAGAAAAGTACAAAGAGGCCCTTTGAGGTCATCTTCTTCTTCCTTAAAAAACATGTTGCTCGCTGGAGATTGAAAAACACACCGTAGAGGTAGTACATACAAATTTTCCCTACCTTTGATAACCAAATAAGCCACTCGCCGCTCATAACAAGATCTTGAAACTGCTAGAAGAGAATTGGCTGGGGTTACACCCCAAATAACGAATGCTTATTTTCCAGTACTACCAACTACAGACGGTAGAAGCTCTTGAAACTTGTTGCAGGAATTGAACGAAGAAGTGAGAAATCGTTACTTCCGTTTGGCATTGAACAATGCTAGACTCTATGAATAGGCTAGCAAAAACTAAAACTTTAGATCTGCAGAACTTTTGCCTGACTAGGCTATCGGTGTCACTGGAAGGAGCGTCGTCAATTAAGGTGCACAAGAGCCCGGAGGATGTTATTCCAGTGCGAAATTGGTGTCACTACCTCGCTAATCTCACGTCTCACCATGGAAACACCAAAGCCACCTACATCTCTATTGTCATCGGAGAGAAGGGACCACCAGACCTCGATGTCGAAAGAATCCACATGTGGTCACTACTGAAAAGTAGCAACGGATAGATTCCTCCATATGTGCTCTTGTAGTCCAACAAAGGTACGCCATGTCCAGCCCTTCGTCCTATGTTCTTCCTTCGAGCTTCTTTGGGAGAAACCCTCTTTCTAGGAGAAAGCCTTCCCCATACACCTTTCCTTCGTAGACAAGATGTTGCATGAGAGGTATCCAGTGCCGGCCCTAGGGGGAGGGCACGGGGTGCGACGGCCGAGGGCCCAGGCGGGGGAGGGGTCCAAGCCCAGGTATACAAACCCTCAAGCCCTATAATCCAATAGGCATCATTAGCAAACTAATAAGAAGATAGAAGACAGGCAGAGAACTGACCAGGCGGCCCAAGAAGACGACGTCGGCCTTTCTTTCCCAGGCAGAGAGGAGGCGAGGAGCCACGCCGCACACTCTGATCGTGACTCGCGAGTGCATGACGCGCCGACGCACGCACGCAGGGCCTGCAAGCCGCCTTGGAGAGCTGGACTGCCGGAGACATGGACACGGCGCACGACGGCGACGACCAGGCAGGGCTCCACAACGACGACATCTTGATTCCTGCCTTCTTGCAAATTGCGATCGCCGATCAGTTGTTTCAGTTCATGTCCAGGCCCTAGGTATTTTTTTCCTTGTTCATTTTTAATCCAAATTAATTATTTGTATAGTATTCCAAATTTCTAGTTTTTTGTACTCATATAGTCATGTTTTTCTTCTAATTTAAGTGTTCGATTAAAAATATATTATTGATTAATTTCGCTTTACAAGTAAAATTAGCATATATATATTATAAGATTTTAGAGGGGGCCGTTGCGATGAGTTCGCAGAGGACCCTCAAAGTCTTAAGACCGGCACCGGACTTATCAAAAGAAGATCCATGAAGATGAAACCACTCTAGATCTAAGAGCAGCCCAATTGTTCCAACGTGTATGGTAGTCCCAAGCTCCATATCTTCACTGAATGTCCAATAGACTCAACTAGTGTCTTCGCGAAGTGTCAAAGTGGTCTATAGGAGCACCAAGTGCTTGGTCTAACAAAATAACAAAACTATTACTAGAGGGAGTGTTGTGGTGGAAAAGTAGAACCCTTCTAACTCATAGAGGCAGAAAAGCTAAAATACTGAACTAGTTGTTCACATCACATAGTGTTAAACATTGCCTGGGATGGAAGAATGAATGGCTCACCACCTTCCTTGTCTAGATGGACTCCACCTTTTAGCTTTTCCAGAGCAATCTAGAATGTGTCCAAGACTCACAAGAGAACAAGCAAGAGCTAGGAATCAAAGTCTACCTTGCTTTTTTGTGAGATTATTAACCACTCTATCTGTGTCTATGCCAATTTTAACAAAAGTAGAATGCAACATATTCATCGTGGTCGTAACTGAAATGTTCATTATGTATATATGCTTACCTTGGTCAAGCCCTAAGGCACGTTGTACTAAAGTCCGCTATGTGTACATGCCTAGTCAAGCCCTAAGACACGCTGCCACTTTACCTTTTCTTGGGCAGATAAAGCCATTAGGACTCCTTCAATCAATTACCACCAACAAAACGTATCCTATGGTAAGATTGTTGCTTCTTGTGCCCTCTCGACAAATATGCTATCCGATTCAAAAAAGCGACTAGCACTCGGACGGACGCCTTCTCCGGAAGCCCTGCGGCTACTGTGTTTCCCCTTAGGGCCGACGACGACGCAGAGGATGGGTGGGCACACGACAGCAGTGCACATATGACAAGAGCACGTGCGTTTTGGGACAAAGCGTCCGGGCGCGGAGGATCTCGACGGCAAAGTGGAGCTCGCTAGCGATGCAGAGCTCTGTAGCGTGTAGAAGGCGTCGCCGCACGGAGCTAGGCGACAATGCGCAGAGGGCAGGATGGGACGCGACGATGGCGTAGAGAACGGGAGGGGGAGGACGATAGTGGCGGCATGCAGAGGATGTTGGCTTCTGTAGGGACGCCCTTGGGGCCCACCGCTGCAATATCGGTGATGTACTAATGAAACATGCCTAGATTACTATTGAAACATGTATACAATATCGTTGCCGCAACATCGGTAATGTACTACTGAAACATGCCCAGATTACTGTTGAAACATGTATAATCGTTGTTGCAACATCCGTAAACACAACACCTGCAAGGCTGCAACATGCTCTCTAAACACTTGAAATAATTGAAACATAAGCTTACAACATAGGCTTTCAGAGCAATATCTCCTTGCAACACAACACCTGCAACATGCACCTAAATCACCTGCAACATATGCTCGAAACACTTGAAACATTCAAAACATAGGCTTACAACATAGGCATTTTAGAGCAACATCTCCTTCTGCTTGGACGAACGGAGGCTCATCGGCACGTAGAGCTTGTTGGAGGTGCGTGGACGTCGCCGGTGGCATGGATCTCAGTGGCGTGGAGCTCATCAGCAACGCGAATCTCAGCGATGCGCAAAAGGCAACGCCACACGAGCCGCACGGAGCTAGACAATGGCGCGCATAGGGCAGGTAGGGGCGGGCGCGATGACGCAGAGGGCGGGTGAGGGTGGCGACAGCGGCGTTCAGACGACATTCAGACCACACGTGTATTTCGGAACAGCGCGGCGTATCATTATCGAAAAAACAAGGTGTTATTTTAGCCCCTTTTTTTTGCATGGATTGTTGGTTCTTAATTGTAGTCTGTGGACAAGTATGCTATCCGATTAAAAAGGGGTGCCATTTTAACTTTTTTCTTCTTCTTTATGTGAGACAGCAAAGTTATCGGCAAAATTATCCAAAACTGAAAAATTCTGACAATCATTTAAGTACAAAAGAGCGAACAACATGTATCCAACTCAGAAAACAAAAACAGATCAACCAAAACTTGCCAAACCAAATCTCAATTTCAAATCCAATTTCAAGAAGAACTATGTACACAGCTCAACTACACGTCTACTAAAGCACAGCAACAACCAAACCGAAAGCCACGCCCCAACTACCCAAGCCTACACGGGCGGCCTGCCTACCTGTCCCTGCGCCTGCACGCGCTACAACGGGCCAGATGTCGCCACGCGTCCGTCGCCGTCCATCTCGGCCGCCCACTCCGCGGCCCGCCTCCCGGACGCGAACCGCCGCATCCCACCCAGCCCCGGCGCCGCCGCCGACGCAGCCTCCACCTCCTTCGTCTCCCTCCGCCTGGCCGTCTCAACCACGGGCGGCAGCGGCGGGGACTGGTCGACGCACTCGACGCTGTTCCTGGACCTGTTCCGCCGCATAAAGAACGCAAGCCCGCCGCAGCACCCGCCCCCGTCCCCGCGCGGCCTCGGCGGGCGGCCGAGGCGCGCACGCTCGCGGTCGGAGAGCACCTTCCCGATGCAGGACACCTTGGGCGAGCCGGGCTCCGGGACGGCGGCCCTGGGCGCGCGCCCGCCGCCCCCCGTCTTGGCCTTCTTGGGGAAGATGGCCGGCGGGGGCGGGTGGTGCCGCCCCCGCCCACCGCCCTGGCCGAGCTTCCCCGAGAGGCCGATGATGGGCGCCGCCGTCGGCTTGAGGTTGCCCGAGAACCGCTGCGAGGCGCCGTTGTTGGCGCCGGGGTGGTTCTTGAGGAGGCACTTGGGGTTGGTGTTCTCCTTGAGGGAGTCGTCGCGGTCGTACACGCCGCTGATCTCGGACCACGCGATCTCGTCGCCGATGCGCAGGCGCGTGGACTCCGCCGGGTCGCCGACGCGCGAGGCGGCGGCCATGAGAGCAAGGGAGCGAGGGAAAGAGAGGCGGACACGAGATTGGAAAGAGAGGAAATCTCTCCGTCTCCGGCGTGCGCGTGGGGGTTTTAAGGAGTTCTTTGGCTGACTCGTTGAGATTGATGTGATTGGGGCGGCTGCCAATTTTTCTCCTTGCTCCGTTCCGTGGGCCTGGTCTATAAACGAGTACTCCTGGTCCTGGGTCTCCAACCTTTTTTTCCCCAATAAAACAAATAAACAATGGCGCGGACGCTCACTTCTCACCTTTGACCTTGCTGTGCGGTGAATATGTTTGGCCTCGTTTAGTTCGCGGTTAGGAATCAGTATTTGATATTGTAGCATTTTTGTTTGTATTTGATAATTATTGTCCAATCATGCTCTAACTAGACTTAAAAGATTCGTCTCGTAATTTACAATCAAACTGTGTAATTAATTATTTT